AATTTTTCTACTTATTCCTATTATCTCTTCATTCATCTTCTTATTACCTTCTATTATCTTTCCATCCTGATTCATCATTCCTTTGCTTTCTATCGCTTCTATAATTTTCTTACTTTCATCCATCATTTCTTTCATTCTTCTAGTTACATTCTCTATTTCTTTCATTCCTTCCCCTTTTTCTAGTACACTTATTTTCTCTTCTAGAGCTTTTATTGTCCTCTCACTCTCCTTTTTTTGTTCGGACACTTTCATCATCCATTTTTCTTCACTTTTTCTGCTTTCTTCTATTTGTGTACTTAGTCTTTCTATCATCCCAGTCATTCTTTTTTCTTCTTCTACCCTCTTCTCTTCACCTCTTCTGAACATTTCTTTCATTATATCTATCATTTCTTTCATCCCTTGCTTTCCGCCCTCTACATCTGTTGTTTTTCTATCATCCATCTCTTCTTCCTTTCCATTCTTGCCTTTCTTTTTTAATTCACTTTCCAATTCCTTGTTTCTATCCGCTATTTCCTCTACTATTTTAACCAATTCTACCGCTTGTTCTTTTACTTTGTTTTTGTTTTCCTTAGTGACGGATTTTCCTTCATTGATATACTCATTTAATTTTGTGTGTGCTCCTTTAGCCCTTGTTACTAGGTCACAGACTTCTATTATAGGTCTTAGGGAGTCCATATCTAACTTTGTGTCTACTTTTGATTTTTCCGGTTCTTTTCTCAGGGGATTTAACGAGGAGATGCTAGCTGTTGTTCGCGGTTTTTCGAATCTACTTAAATCTATGCTTTGTCTCCTACGCTCTGTTATCGGGTCGCTGCTCTTATACATTTTGACGTTCACGAAATAAATTAACACACAATAAATTAATAAATGAGTCAATAGACGAAATTGAAAAATAAAAATAAAATTAAAATTAAATAAAATCAAAATAAATAATTATTAAAATAATGATATTAATGTGTCAAAAGACGATTTAATAAAAATAAAATAAAATAAAGTAATATTACAATTGAATTGAATCCGAATCAATGAGTCAAAAGACGAATTGGAATAAAATTATAGAATTAAAATTAAAATTAAATTGAATAAATTAATGAGTCAAAAGACAATTAAAATATTCAATAAAACTAAAGTAAAATAAATTAAAATTGGATGAGTCAAAAGACAAAATTCAAATAAATTAAAATGAAATTAAAATAAAATTAAATAAAATAAAAACAATGGGTCAAAAGACAAGATTCAAATTCAACTACTATAATATTACTAAAACTAATTAAATAGGTCAAAAGACACTATCCAAAAATGAGTCAAAAGACAGAATTCACTAATACTAATTGTGTTTTTGTATAGTGTACTGTTTGAGTAGTGAGTGTCTGTCCTTATGTGTGTGTAGTGTGTTCTTTGAAGGACCTTGGGGATACCTAGTCAGTATTTAAAACCGCTATAATATAAAAATGTCAAATCCTACAAACTAAGCCTGTCCTCAAAAGAGGTACAGGGTATCAAGATCACAGTCAAAATTAATAAAATAAAAGAAAATAAATCACACAATTTGTAAAAATAAGCCTGCCCTTAAGAAAGGTGCAGGGTGTCAATATAAATTAAATTAAAAATTTTACACACACAAAAGATTAATACTAAAACTAGGCCTGCCCTCAAAAGAGGTGCAGGGTGTCGATCACAGTCAAAATACACGAAATTAACACAGAAATAATTAGTCTAACACTAAACCTGCCCTTAAAAAAGGTACAGGTTGTCAATATCACGGTTAAATTTAAAATTGAATAAATTAAATACTATTATAGTAATAATTGAAATAAATGCAGATTTGTCAATACTTAACCTAAGTCTGCCCTCAATAGAGGCGCAGAGTAACCTAAACTATATTAAATTCCTAACTAACTAACCTAGATTCAGGCTCAATAGAGACCTGAATTTGTCAAAATTCCTTAATTACTATTCCTGTTCTCAATAGAGAAACAGGAAGTCAAATTTACTGTAGAAAAGGCCCTAATTCCTTATAGGAAGTTTTGTATTGAAAACTTAAAATTAATTTCCCTAGTCTCTACTGACTCTTTATAGAGTCGATTTGAGCTCTACCAAGTTTGGGGTATTTTTTGTGACCGACAGGTAAAAGTCCGGTCAAAATCGGTTCAGTAATTCCGAAGTTAGGTATCCCTACAGTGAGGGGTGGTTGTAGGGGTTGGGGTTGGTTTTTTATTCCCCGATGTAATAGTATTCCTTTATGCAATACTTTTTCCCCAAGGGACCTTATGTGGGAGATTACTGTAAGTGCCCTTTTTTGTCGGTTAACTTTGATCACCTAAGTTTTTCGCTGAAGTCCCTGATTTAGTGGGCGTGGCCTGAATTCCCCAATTCAAGGGGTTGATCCGGGTGATTTTGGACTTTGGATTCCTGTATAGGGGGATATCCTCTGTCAGAAACCTCCCGGATTAATTTTCGTCAAAGTTCATCTTCCGGAGATTTTTGGGTTTTAAGCATAAATTCCCGGTCGTTGATTAAAACTCAATTCCTCTAAAACTAAGGGTGGAAAAAAATTTTTAACACTTAAATTTAAAAGGGGAAGAGTCAGGCTACAATATGGTACTAAGTTTATAATTTTAGGGGGAAAAATGTCAAAGTTATTAGCTCCGAAAAAATGTAAACAAAGGGACACAACTAATGGAAAAAGCTTAAAGGTTTGCAAAGTTATTATTGCGGATTTCAGCAAATTTACGTGAATTTTCCGGTGAGCGGCGCTCGGGGCCGTTTTTGATTTTCAAGATTTTTTAAAAACAGGTGTATAGGGCCTTTCCTAAGCTATCCGTACATATATAAAACACATAAATTAATTAAACATTTATATTTTTTAAAAAGCAATATTCGTTGACCAGTCCCTTAAAAATGACCGCAAATAGGTTTGTTTGTCAGTTTTTTCTTAGGGGTATTAACCCTTATCGTTACAAACTTGTTTATTATAATGTCCTATGTGAGTTTTACCCCTCCTGAAAAATTTACAATTAAATAGCTGTTATATTCACTTTTATTTCACTTTTTTAATCCGAAAATTTCAAAAATTGCATTTGGTAAAAATTTTTATTTTTATGTGCTTATATCTTTGGACGGGGTGGTCCAAAAATAAAAATTTTTTCGTCTAAAATGGTTTTACGTACCAAGCTATCCAGTCATATAAAAATAATTTTAAAATTATCAATAATAAAAAAGTGATTTTTCACGTCGCGATCTTTTACAATCTTACTAATGCGGTCGGATGATTTTTCCGTTTGTTCTTTGGGGGGGTAGCGCTCGGAAAAGCCGAGACCTACCCTTAAAAGCTTAATACTAGAAGATAGGGGATGAACAAGCCTTTCCCGTGATATGAATTTTGGATTTTTTATTTTATTTTTAAGCATAAAATAAAAGGTTATAAAATTTAGAAAAGATTTTTTCAGCTACAAAACTGTGTTTGTTTGCGCTGGTATGTTTACTTAATGAAAAATTTTTATCCCACGGGATAGCCCGGGTCGACGTCCTCCTGTTATAGTGAAAACCAGATTTTGATTAAATAAAAAACCGGTAGATATTTGACTTTTATTTTCGTGGCGTTCGCCCCGCTCGTCCTGAAAGTCGAATCCGTATGCCAGGTGTTGTTTGTCACAGACACCGGTTTCGCCGGTTCTTCTCAGAAAGGTCTCCCAATTTTGGAACCGGTGGTAGTTTACGGTAGTTAGGGTCAAATAAATAAACTCAAAATTACAAAAAAGAATTTAAATAAAATACTTTATTAAGTAAATTTAATAATTAATTCATACATAGACAATAAAACTTTAAAAATCGAACAATGAAATAACCAAACGCTCAATAAAAGTCTTTCGAAGGATGCTCGACAAATTAAATAAAAGTTTAATGCTGACGACGTAGCCTGTAAAGGCTACGAAACGTCAATAAATAAATAAAAGTTTTGTGCATTAACCCGTAAAAACTAGTTTTATTTAATGAGTGATGTGCGTGAAAACCTAAGAAACAAATAGAGTATTTGATGTTAATTTTGGCTCTATTCCCGAATTAAAATTTAGATTTGGAAGCACAAAATCGTGTGTATGTAATCCCTTGCGGAGGCCTATGTCCAGCAGTGGACGTCCATCGGCTGATGATGATGATGATGAACTTAGATTAATTTGATAACAAAATCCGCTGACACAACTAATGTGTTTTTCCACTAACTCAGTAAGGTTTTTTTGGTAAATTTTACAAAGCCTTTACAACATCTAGTTTGAAATAGTGAACCTTTTGTAGACCCCCGACATTGTCAGGATAAACTCACACCCGATCTTTAGTATGAGGAACGAAGCGGACGCCCAATTTTAGAAGATTTGATTCATGAGTACAATAGCTCAAGCTAACAATTGAGGGGATTGATTGACCTTTTCTAACAAGTGTATTTGAAAATTCAATAGCCTTTCCTACCTACAACTGATCATTGGAAAAGGGATTCAATATCCTGCAAATAATGCCGTGAGAACATGTAAAGAATATTACATTATCTAATTTTACTACCCATAAACACTACCTAATTATTTTTATGCCTTCATTTTTTATCACACATAATTTTTGTAAGCAGTATAAAATTGCCATAAAAGGTCTTATGACTTTCATTATAATTTACGTCCTTATATAAACTCATATTATTACTAAAAAGTATTTATAATAGCATTCCGCGTACATTACGGTAATGTACGTGAGTTCTCTGCCTGCTCTGGCTTAGAGAGGTCGTTCCTAAAATTATCACTTTTGATTTCAAAAATAATAAAAATTCAAGTTATTTTATATTTTGTGAGCGTGAATTTTAGATTCAAATTATAATAACCTTTTGCGCTTCTTGTCGTATAAAAAGTTTACATCGTTGACGGTGATAAGCATCGAACAGCGTGAAAAGTTCTGAAATTTAAGTGTGTTATTGTACAGCAGAAGCAACTTTATATATTGCAAAACAGGACAAAAGAATGGCAAAATTACTTACTTCTACACCGTTGTCAGATACTACTTCACCCCCATCGCTATCTGAACAAGCACAGCCAGATTCAGACTCTTCGTCACTCAGCTTGCCCGATGAAAGTCGTAATGTAACAGTGAATTCAAAGTATGTTCATGAAGATACACCGCCTCAAGTAAACGCCGGCACCAGTCAAGATAACTTACAAGACTTGAAAAAAGAATTATTGCTCGCTATGATGATGCTTGGTTCTTGGAAAACCAAGAAAGAAACGAACCTTTCTAAGCTTCTGAGTGATGTAGCTGAGTTCAAAACTCAATGCGAAGAAATTCAGAGGTCCAATAATCAAATAGAAGATTCAATTACTTTCCTCTATGCTCAATATGTAGAAATGAAAGAAAAGTTGCGAAGCATAGAGATGGAAACAATTACCAGTAAGCAATGTATGATGAAATTGGAAAATCTTTTAAATGAATCACAAGTGGTCTCGCGATCATCGTCAATTGAAGTCAGGAACGTGCCGGAAGTAAAAAATGAATCAGTGCGAGATCTTCTCACCATTATCAAAAAGCTGGGTGCTACCTTGGATATAGCTATTCACGACAAAGACGTTCGAGATATATACAGACGCCCTGGAAATCCTGAGAAAACGAAACCGATAATAGTAGAATTCAGCTTCGTCGGAATGAAAGAAAGCTTTCTCGCTTCTGCACGGCGATTCAACCGACACCGTCAAGTATCAGAGAAACTTAACCATGAACATATTGGAATGATTGGAAACAAACGTCCAATCTATGTCGTGGAACACCTTCTACTGTCGACCAGTAAACTATATTTCCAAGCACGTCAATTCTCAAAGAAAAATGGTTATAAATTCTGTTGGACAGACAAGGGCAGGATTTTACTTCGCGAAGATACAAACTCTAAATTCATTCATGTTAAATCAGAGCAATGTCTGTTTAACTTGCTGAATTCGTAAACCTTAATTATGTACCTTTAAAACTCTCTGCAGTAGAAGGACATATGAGCAATATTCCGGTATAGCAAAATCCCAGATAAGCAGAAGGAAAGATTTGCATGAAGACAGATAATGCACTGTCTTCGTCAAAAAAGATTTATCATTGTACAAATGCTCTATATATCTAAATGGCCACTGTAAATTGTCAAAAATGTTTATTGATATAAGTCAATGGTGTTTTCTCATAAAAAAGACATTTTCGTCTTATTATATAAACTTTATCGCGAGTTTATTCGAATGACAGTTTGATACGTTGGGCCAGAGTTACAAAGACGAATTAGCTAATTCATCTTAAATTATTAATATTTTCAATTTTATTTTTGTTTTCTGTGCGGGTCTTACTTCTGGCTTTATGCAAATCCATCCTTTTGTGATTCTGGTATTTTGCTACGGGAATATTGCTGGGTACTAGACCTGTATGTTCTGTTGTTGCAGAGGGTTTTAAAAATTATCTTTAAATTAAATTATCAATTTACGAGCTTGGCACTTAATCACATTTCACTTTTTATTCACCTATTTTTCTATTCAACTTACGCACCTTACTGATTCTTCTTCTTCTTCACTTCTGCACTTTTAAAACTTATAATAATACTATAATATATATATTTATTATTTTACAACAAACGGCGGACTTGATGCCACATGGTATTCTCTACCAATCAACGACCGGGTTAACCAGAGACATTATGCGGTGAAGTAATTAAAAGCTACGAAAAACAAAAGAACACAGGCTTGAAAATTTACGTGTTCCATTTTCGAATTATTATTACAAATTCCAGCCAATCGCATTGTAACTGAAATGCATACGTATATCACACGTATACAATTTGTATATCACTTAATTATTTTTATCACGTAATAAGACATTCCTTTCATTTAAAATGCTATTTTATTTATCAAAACATAATCTTTATGATTAACCCTTTCGATGGATATCATAAAAAATGTCGTGTTTTTTTTCGAAATTTCACGAGTTTGATTCCCAGTTGTAACAGGCGATTTTAAAAAAATTTGTGACTGCAGTTCTAGTAATTATTAAAAATAAAATGATGTCTTCTTTCAGTAAAATATCCCATCTTCAATATTTAATATACTTTCCCTCCGTTTGAGGTAGCCGTGGGACGCCCTGTATAGTAATTATAATGTTATATCTATAAATATACATAAATAATATAATAATTGTACGTAATTAAAATTCTAAAAAAAAAATTCACGGAGACCCGCAAACGAAACATCAAAATAGAGTAACTAAATGTATTTAACTTAAACAGGCATGGTGTTTTTTTCTTTAAAACCACTCAAAAGCACTTAAAATAGTCTGAATACACGGCATATTTTTTTTCATACAAAAAACGGCGAACGACGAGCTTTGACAGATAACAGTATAAATATTTCATATGGCAGTTGAAGTAATCAATGGCTAGATAGCTAGCCCGTTCTTTCCTTTAAAAATTGATATAAGAATGTAGGTGATAGCCAAATAAATGCTACGTAAATGTGGAATGGGCCACCAGTCCGACTTTCGTATGGTAAATCGACCGAGTTTCGGTCGCGTGCCGCAATGACAAAGTAATGACAGAAACCGAAAGACGGTTGCGCGCCGCTTGAGAGGTTTAACAAATACTAATGTAGTAACATTAAGGGCAATGCGATTACAAATCATCGCTTCGTACTGCTTTCCAATACAATAATGGTACGATAAACGAGTGAGAGGACCTAAGAATAAGCGGAACAGTATCAGTCGCGCTTGGGCTCTTTGATGTTTGCAAGAAACCTCACTTACGGGGATATACCACCAGACAATATAAGATCGATAGGCTGCGCAAGTTTTAACGTCCACGGCAATGGAAGCAACTTGTTTACATGCTAGCATTACCACATTGCCAATTTTATATACCACGGCTCTGCTAGTTGCCGCGCGAACGAGCTGAATGTAAACGGGTTCTTAGCTTCTATAACGAGCACGGCTTTCACCGTCCAGTTTATTCTACAACCTGGCTTTCGGGGTTTTATATCAGACAGTGATATAACTTTTGACGTTATCATTGTCCATTTGTCTTTGAAACAGAGTCAGTAGATAGATTTAAAAACAAGGTTCTTTATAATCCTCCCTTTACTTGACTATTGTGAATAAGTAAAGTTGACGGTTTATTACGGGAAATTTTCATGGATTTTTTTATTTTAGTATATACAATTATAAGTACATATAATTAAAATTTAAGTAAATAAATTTAGAATCCTAAGTGAAAAAATTTTATCTAAATAGATTTTATTAGTTTTTGGAAACTCAACTGTATAACATCAGTGACGTATTATATTGGAAATTGTTGTTGGTTGTTTTAATTTTTCCTTTATAACTCTTAGACGACATTTGCAGACCATTTAATATTGTCTTTCTTTCCTTTGGTTGGACCCCCTTAGAAACTCGAAGCTATTGATGAAGCTTAACTATGGATGGGATCATCAGCTATTGATTGATAAGGTGGCAAGACTTACCGTAACGTCAGAGCATTAGGTGTAACTAAGTTCAGCTTGATGGGCATAAGTCTGGCTCTCCTGGTCTCCGCCGCGATGCTCGGTGGTGTTTGCGTCGCCACGTCCCTTCCTCTCCTTTGCTTGGATCCCACAGACCCGCAGCCGTTCATGTAGCTCAGCTGTGGATGGGAGACACTCACGCCGATTTTGTTCCTCTGTGGCCTTAATGTGAAAAAGGTGATATCAGTACTTTTCATAGATGGGAAACATGAAAATTTTAAAGGAAAACACATTTTTCTTTGTTCAAAGAGCTTTTGCTTTATGTTTAGTCAAATATTAACAGGTTATGAATTATTAAAATATAGTGCGCTCAAAATTACATTAATCTCTAAAGAATTTGGGCGGGGTCAGCAAAATAAATTTCAGGATAATATTCAACTACATTTATGGCCCAATCTCCCTATTCCATCCATAGGGAAGGCCTGTGCCCCAGCAGTGGGGACATTAAGAGGCTGATGATGATGATGATTCAACTACATTGGTAAGAGTCCCGAATCAAGTGATTGTTAAAAAATCTATAAAAATATCCGGCCAAGTGCGAATGGGACTCTGCACGATGGGTACCGTGCCGTTATCTACAACATTAGGTACTATATTATAATATCGAGCAAAAAACGGCTAAATATCACGTCTGTTGTATGGGAACCCCCTTAAATACAATTTTTTATATTTTAATTCAATATACAACTAACTTTTATGTTAATATTTCGAGCGTTTACCTGTTTCCCGTTATTAATATCGAGCAAAAAAGGCAATAATTACGTTTGTTGAATGGGAGCCCCCTTTTTTTTCAAGTAAAATATACAACCTGTTCACAGACCGATAGACAGACAGACAGACAGACGGACAGCAGAGTCTTAGTAATAGGGCCCCGTTTTTACCCCTAGGGTACGAAACCCAAAAAACTACATCACTCCTAGCAAAATCGAAAATAAGGTTGGTGTGGAAAATACCTTACTGTTTTTTGCAAAATATAGGTACAGTTTTGATCGTGTGAGTACATATTAATCGGTGGCAAAGAGCGTAATGCCACTTTTTTGATAAGACTTAAAATCACTGTGACTTCAATTCAAAATACCTTGTGGCGCTAGTGACTCTCCAAGTTAGCTGTCTTGACACTGAAGTACCAGGAGACAAATCCGGAGAACTCCTGGCTCCGAGTCTTCTTACACCATGCATATGCCCGTTGTCAAAACCACCGCATTGTCTGCAGGGAATATTTAATAGGATTACATTTTGAAGAATATTACAAGGTAAGTCTTCCATTCACTGACATGACGCATTATTAATACCCTGACCCTTTTTTCTTAATCGCAGGGATTTGGAAACCTCGCTCATCGCCGATGCTTAGTGTTTCAAAAAACCTGATTTATGCAAAGTATTTATTTACAAAATATGAATATGATGTACATGATTTAACATATTTTAAAACTGGGCCTTTGAAAAACGTTGATCGTGAATTTATAACAATAAATATAAAATAAACCATTTAGTCTAGCCCCAAAGTAAGCACAATCTAAATTACAAAATTATTTCTATAAACACGTTAGGTTTTACATGTTCAATACGTAAAAAACAGGACTTTCATCCAGTGCGGTGGCGTGGAGGACCTGTATTGGTGGATGACTGCTGAACTACTATGTTCACGTTCTGTGCAGTGGAGGTCGAAAAAGTTGTTTAATAACTACGTTATTAGTAACAAACTTAAAAGTGTATTAGTTTCAGTTAGTGATTTTCGCAAAAAAGCCAAAGATATAAAGTTGCACAGCAGCGGGAGAGAACCCTTTTCCTGTCAGCACCGCTTCAGCAGTGCTATTCTGTAAAATTTTCACGCGCGGATCCGAATCAGATCCGCACGTTTCCCATACAGTTTCGCGCGGATCCGCGGGTGAAAATTTTACAGAATAGCACTGCAGGTCGATTTTGGGTGATACGCAGTGAACGTGTTAAAGCCTGTTATTAACTGTTAATCTGTGAGAATTATTAATAATATCGTAGTTCAGATAAATTAAAAAGTTTTCTCTAAAAACAACTTTTTGAAACCTAGAGCGTTTTTTTAATTTTATTTGCTGTTATGGCGGCAAAAGGAATACATACTCTACCATTACTCTATCACTCTATTTATTGCGTTTCATGAAATACAGCTCCCTAACAGTCAGACGAACAGGCAAAGGATATTTAACAATAGGTTTCCCTTTGGATACGGAACTCTGAAGAGTCAGGACTCGGGAGTCTCTATATTAGCGGGCAGTGATATTCATTATGCAAGCATAGCTTTGATTTTTATATCCAAAGAATAATTTCAAGGATAAAGTTCCTTACGGAGGGGAACATTTTAGTGAGTGTAGCTTTAACTAGGTCAAACTAATCGTAAATTTTATTTGCGACAGATAATAACTAGACATTTCCTTCGGTTTTATGTGGAGTTAATGAAACCATAATTCTGTATTATACAATCATTCGAACGAGCTTATTCTACAGGATGCCCAAGCTTTTACGTTAATTTATTCTGTTGTTTTTTCAAGTAAAAAACAATTATTGGAATATACTTCTCTAAATCAAATGAAACGCATTTGTTATAATCTTTTGAACTTAAATTATTTTTCAATATGAATTTATTATATCATACAGCGTGCGTCGTAACATAAGACGACATCTTTTTATATAAAACTCAAAGGTGACTGACTGACATAGTGATCTATCAACGCACAGCCCAAACCTCTGGACAGATCGGGCTGAAATTTGGCATGCAGGTAGATATTATGACGTAGACATCCGTAGGATTCTGATCAATTCTACCCCGAAGCGAGGGCGGGCCACTAGTCTTATATAAAGCAAATTGAAATCTTTGAACAGGAAATTTTAAAGAAGAATTAAATTCCCGTTTCATTACGTAAATAATTTCGTTTCAATATATGTACAGTAAGTACTCAAAGAGAGCTCGAAGAAGCATGAATTAGAATGCCATAGGTAACATATAAGCAGCTTACGGAAAGATCCCTCTGTTTGATGGATGAAAATGTTCATGTTATAATACCTTTGTACATTATGCTGCGTTACCATCTAGTGCTCAGAACAGTTCCGAACGAGCAATCATTTGTCCG